ATCTATCTATCTATCTATCTATCTATCTATCTATCTATCTATCTATCTATCTATCCATCTATCTATCTATTTTGCAGTTTGTAAAATATAATTAACTATGTATTCGGCCATGTTTATCAAAAATGTCCAGCTTGTTTCAAATAGATACCACAAAGGAAACTTCCACGGAGTTTCGAAAGTCTATTGTTTTTATTGAACCAAAAACAGTTGTGCAAACAAATGCAATCCATCATTTGAATCATTACAATTGGACAATGAATTATCAAGTTATCAAGATTCAAATCATTCAAGATTTACATTTAAGGCCACGTGCTTAGAAAGCAAAAAGCAGAACTTTGATGAACAATCAACGATACAATAATTTCTCTAAGCCCAGGTTGGCCCCGACAGGCAGGGTCGGAAGTTCACCTCATAGATGACCAATAAATGCTTACCAGGGGGGACGTAAAACACAACTATTGTATAATAAAATGATGCAATAACAATTCCTAAACTTATTCATTATTATGTCCTCGTGCAGTCAGTGACAATGTTGATGTATGCAAGGACTCAAGGCGACGCGGGTGTGTCGTACGTTTAAAGATGATCGTGAGGCAGGTGGAATCAGGCTCTAGTGAAAATAATCAAAGTGAAGAAACTGGCATTTTTCTGTAGGTTCGTAAATTTTTATCACAATGTTTTTTTTGGCTCAACACCTTTCATGCACATTAACTCATTTCTGTGTGGATTTTCTTTAAAATGTTGATTAAAGGCACCAAAAAAATATATTTTTCAGTTACCATGGACTCTTAAGCTAAGGAAATAACTATTTCATTTTCTCACTAATTTTACCTCTGAAAACAGGTGACCCCCACCTCCTTCATTCGCAAATATCTCAACTTGTATTCAAGATAAATGGATATTTTTTCCTCCAAATAAAGACAAGTAAACAAGCTTTAAGATGATACCAATAACTCTACATGCCCAAAAATTGACGAGAGCTTGATTCCACCAAGCTGCCCCACAATCAGTAATCCGGTTCTTGGGAGGTAAAATTCGCACACGGGTGTCTTTTAAAATGGACATAAAAGGTGCCGAAAAAGAAAACTAGACAAAAATTGCCCGGCAGGAGGAAAATCGTCAGTTTCTCCGATCTCATCATTTTGACGAGCGCCTGGTAAAAGGCTGGCTTCACAACGATGGCACACATACATATTAATTTGTGATTGAAGGATAAATCATAATAAGTTCAGAAACACAATAGACTGAATTCCGCGCCTCTCTCCCTCTAGCCCATTAAATGATCCCACCAACTACTGGTTGTTGTTGTTGTTGTTGTTGTTGTTGTTGTTGTTGTTGTTGTTGTCGTCGTCGGTGTTGTATAATAATATATTTAACGTCTCT